GCCCTCCAGGTGATTTTTAACACCGAGTTTGAGAACCGCTGATCTAGAGGTGAGTGAGCAGGGGAGAGTGACACAGGTGGGGTTGGGGGCTGGAGGACACAGGGGCACAGTAAGGCCTTTGGTGCCATGTTAAGAACTTTCACTTTTACCCCAAAAGCAATAAAGAGATATTTCAGGGCTTCAGCAGTGAAGTGATATGCCAGATTCATATTTCAAGATCAGCTGCTGTGTAGAAAATGGACTGGAGAGGGATAAGAGCAGAAGGATGCTACAGTGGTTCAAGCCCAGATGCCAGGGCTGGGACTAGTGTGGAGGCCACGGAGGTGGAGAGAAGATAATAGAGAGGAGAGCTATTTTGGAAGTAATGACAAGGTGATCAGTCAGTTCTCAGAGGGGGCAAGGGAGGAGTCAGGATGGCACCCCAGTTCTGGCATGGATGGCTGGGCAGATGGGGAGCCATTCAGGGAAACAGAAACTATGGGAAAAGCTCAGATGGGGGCCATGAGTTCAAATCCAGATGAGTTGAATTTCAGTGGGGATGCCTTGTAGACAGACCCAGCTTCCTCCAAGATCTGAGAGAATGAACAACTCTGTGTCTAGGAAGCCATGTGTGATGACCCCTAATGAGGGCCCGGATGGAGGAGAGACGAATGTTGACATGTCCTCACTCAAGCGGCAGAGACCAGAATCAGGTAGTTTGAAGGGGCCAGGCTGAGAGCATCATGATGGGGGTCGCTCCCGGGGCAGCTGTGGAAGGTCATCTCCTCCATCCCCTTGCCCCTGGTGTGGGACAGGGCGGGTTACTCACCTAAGAGAACCTGGCCCATGTAAAGTCTTCTGGTCCTAGAACCTTGTGGGATTTCTGCTTCCCTCTCTCCCAGCATCAGGGCCTGGGGCTGCTCCTCTCCAGAACATCTGCGGCATACCTTGGACTCTGAACCAGGGCCCAGTCTGCCAAGGCCCACTCTGGGCTTCTGAGGCCTGGGAATCATCTCTCCATTCCTTCCCATTCATCTTTTGAACCATGTTCCTCTCACAAGCTATCCACCTGGGGCATGCTGGGAAAAGTGACACTTCTGGACCAGTGGGAAAGGGGAGGTGGACAGGGGGCAGCAGGGTTGGGCCTGCTCAGATAGCAGGCAGGCTGCCTCAGGAGCAGGAACAAGCCTGCAGACACACTCTCTGCCATGGTCGCAGACCAGCCTTGGGAAGGGCCCCTCCAAGGTCCAGCATTTGGGGACCAGTAGAGAGAGACCAGGCAGAAGAACCTAGAGCTGACCACTGCCCTGCCTGTTCCAGCGGAAAGCTCCCCTCAAGTGTCACAGGTGAAACCCTTCTGTCTGTCTTCTCCTGCTCCTCCGGAGGACCTGCTCATGGAGCCTCTGGGGACCGAAGATGACTTCCAGGGCCCCACAGGGCCTGTGGCTACTGAGGTGGTTGACAAAGAGAGGAGCCTGTACCGGTGAGTGAGAGGCTCTGCTGTCCCAGGCTGGCCTCTGCCACCCCACCATCCCCACAATGGGGCCCTATAGACAGTCAGCACCCCACCCACGGCTCATTGGGTCCCCTCCCCTTCCAAGCCAGCAGGTTGGGACAGGACTGAGATCCTGTGTCGGTGCTTTTGTTACGGAAAAAGAGGTTTTATTATGAAAATTTTCAAACATACACAAAAAGGAGCCAGGACTCAAACCCAAATCCTTCTGACTCCAACGTCTGGGCTTAGAGCCACTCTACTAGATCCACAGTGCCCTGCACAGGGTCTGGCATCCAGTAGGCACTCAGTGTGTTTGTGTAGAGTAATTCAGTGTGTACCTCTCCCCATCTCTCCCAGAGTTCACTTCCCCACGGCCGGCCCCTACCACTGGCCCAACACAGGTCTGTGTTTTGTGGTGAGAGGGCCAGTGACCATTGAGATTGAATTCTGTTCCTGGGACCAATTCATGGACAGGACTGTCCTACAGCACAGCTGGATGGTGGCAGGGCCTCTGTTTGACATCAAGGCTGAGCCAGGAGCCGTGGCAGCTGTGCACCTCCCTCACTTTGTGGCCCTTCAAGGTAAGCAAGAGGGAAGGGTGGAGGGAAGTGATGATGGGAAGAATGGGCCTGAAAGGGGCTGTGGATGGCAATGTCCTCAGGGAGGAGCTTGTGGCTTCCTTAGAGAGACTGAGAGGGTTATAGAATGGAGACAGCTTTTCCCTCATTCCACAGTGCTCTGGGCACATCTTTCTTGAAGCACTTTTGTCTCCCAGCCTCATAATTATTTTTGCCTGAATTACTTGAACGTTTCCCGGAATAGAAACTGGTCTACTCAATAGCAATAATAACTAGCATTTATTAAGTGCTCTTCACATAGCTTGTGTCACTCATGGTCCCAGCAGGAAACAGATGATACACTCAACTGAGATTTTTGAAGAGACTTTTCAAAGACAGCACTATTTACAAAGTAAGGCTAAGTGAACTAACAGGAATGTTGGGGTACCTAGGGAGTAGCAACAAAGGGGAAGCCATTACCACTCCTGTAGGCAAGGAGATGAAACCATGTCACCAGACTCCATTTGAGAGCTGGAGCCATGAAAGAGGGGCTTCTCAGTAGGATTTGTAGTCATAAAAAGTAAATGGATAAAGTTCCAAGAAATAGAAGCTCACAGTCAAAAATCTCACAAACAGTAAACAAGGCACCATAACTGAGAACCAGCAGAAACAGTCCCATAAAGACACAGACATTGAAATTATCAGACACAGGACACAAAATAAGCATGTTTCCTATGCTTAAAGAAATAAAAAGTCTTAAAATATGAGCAAGACGCAATAAAATATTTAAAATGATAAATTGAGTCTGGAAACAAACTTAATTTACAGAAAATATGGGAAAAAAAGATTAAGTGACATGGAGGATAGCATGAGAAGCCCTAACATACATCTAATTGGAATCCAGAAGAATATGATAGAGAGAATGGAGAAGATGCAATACTCAAAGAAAGAATTGCCAAGAAATTTCTAGAATTGCTGCAAGTTGTGACTTCTCAGAATGAGAAATCTCAAAAATCCAAAAAAGAGAGAAATCAGCACTAGACCCATTATAATGAAACTACAGAATACCAAAGTTGAAGGGAAAGTCTTGACAGCAGCCAGAAAGACAAAGTATGTAGCAAGGTACTTCAATTAGGTGGACAACTGACTTTTGAACAGCAGTAATGGAAGGCAGAAGACGATGGAATGGTATCTTCAATGTACTGAGAAAATAACTGTCAATCAAGAATTGTAATCCCAGAAAAACTAGTTTTTTAAGAAGAGAATAAAAGAGATTTTTTAAAACAAACTAAAACCAAGAGAGCTTTCCACAAACAAATCCTTAGTGGAGGAAATTCTAAAGGATGTACCTCAGGCAAAAGGAGAATGATCCCACATGGAAGGTGTGAGGTGCAAGATGGAAGGATCAGCAAAGATATTGAGACATGTATGGGTAAATCTAGGAAACATTAACTGGATAAAGCAACAATAATAATGTCTTATACAGGGGATTTAAAAGAGAGAGAGAGAGAGAACTGAAATGCCAACAACAATAGCAAATAAGAGTGTTAAAGAATGCTAAGGTCTCTGTGTTGTTCAGAAGGAACGTAAAAGTTGCACCAGTGGTGCTGTCCAGGTTAAAATGCTGAAACACCTCTGTACTGGTCAGGAAAGGAGAAATTCTCCACTTTTTGAGGCCACAAATGACCTAACAACATCATAGAGTGTTGGCCATAGAGGTGAGTAACGGGGCGAGAGCATGGAGCAGCACGATGGGGTGGCCAAGGCAGCATCGCTGTAGATGCCCAGGGTAGGCAGGAGTGTCTGAGCCTGTTGGGCACAGGACGGGGGCATCAGGAGCAACATTGTTGGCAGGGGCTGCCACACAGGCTCTCCACACCAGGCCATGTGGGCACAGCTAGCATCAGGGGCACACTCAGCCAGTGCTGGTGCCAGGGACCTAGAGTCTATCAATTCAATGAGAAGTTAGAAGAATCTGATGCAGTTCCCCATGTCAGATCATGACTCAGACAGGAGCTTCACTTAATTATGATAGAACAATTTGATAAACAATTTGTGTTACAGCTTATATCAGTTGTAAGCACTTTTTTGTACGTGTGTGAGGAAGATCAGCCCTGAGCTAACATCCATGCTAATCCTCCTCTTTTTGCTGAGGAAGACCAGCTCTGACCTAACATCTATTGCCAATCCTCCTCCTTTTTTTTTTTCTCCAAAGCCCCAGTAGATAGTTGTATGTCATAGTTGTCATCCTTCTAGTTGCTGTATGTGGGACGCTGCCTCAGCATGGCCAGACAAGCAGTGCGTCGGTGCACACCCGGGATCTGAACCCGGGCCGCCAGTAGCCGAGCGCGTGCACTTACCCGCTAAGCCACGGGGCCAGCCCCCTGTAAGCACTTTTATATATGGTTTAGTTAGATAATAAAGGGGGGTATACTTTTAATGTTTAATTTATGTATTGACTGATATATTAATTTATAGTGCCATCACAGTAGTTAAATATATTTAGTATCAGCTCTAGGCAAAGGTATTGATTTACATTAGACTTTAAGTATGCACATTAAAATATTAGGATCATCGGGGCTGGCGTGGTGGCGTAGTGGTTAAGTTCACACACTCCGCTTTGGTGGCCTGGGGTTTGCAGGTTCGGATCCCGGGTGCGGACCTATGCACCACTTATCAAGCCATGCTGTGGCGGCATCCTCTATAAAGTAGAGGAGGATGGGCATGGATGTTAGCCCAGGGCCAATCTTCCTCAGCAAAAAGAGGAGGATTGGCAACAGATGTTAGCTCAGGGCTAATCTTCCTCACCAAAAAAAAATAATAATAAATAAAATAAAATATTAGGGTCATCAATCAAAAAATGTATGTGTAAGAAGAATAATTTACAGTCTAGGAGAAAGAAAAATACAGAAAGAGGAAAATAAAAAGAAGGAACTGCCCAGAACCCAGGACCAGGGAAGGTCATTTGTTGAGAACACAAAGACTTAGTAAACAATTCAAGCTGTACACGAGCGGGAAAGCACAGGGCAGGGAATGAGGCCAGGCCCAAGGGGAAAGACTCGGGGGTCCAGAGGCACCTGGCCAGACAGGGTCACTAGGGAAGAATTCCGAAGTAAAGCATGGGGGAGGGAGGTGCAAGATAGCTCTGGGGGCTGTAGAGGCCCATCACATGGGGAAAAGCTGGGGAGCAGGCGCTGGTGGCTCAGACCACGAGTTGGGTTGTTATTTCCTCCCACCTGACCATCTATAGAGTGATGAACATAGCCACCACGACAGCCATCCTGCCCTTCCACCAAGTGAGACCTTGCCCGAGGGTCTCCTCGTGTTCTGCCAGGGAGAGAGCGGCTTGGCCTATGGAGTCAGTGGGTTCAGCTCTGCCCACCAATGAGACAACTTGGTCTGCCCTTGGCCTGGGATGCTCAAGGCTATACTGCCATTCTCCACTCTGTGCCAAGATATTCTAGGAAAAACCTCCTGCATCCAAGGCCTGGAGCCAGATGCACCGGCAGGGCCCAAGAAGAGAGTGTGCCTTTAGTTCCTGCTCCCAGTCCCACTTTCACACCATGCTCCCAGGGGTGGACATGCCAGCCCCTCCCCATTGTGAGGACACCCTAACTATGTCCTAGTCAGTCTTGTACATCCTTCTGGTAGGACTGGGAAATGGGATTTGCCCAAGGAAGATATGACCCTCCAGGTGCACAGGAATCTGGCCTAAGCCTGTCAGGCTGAAGGCCAGATCTGGACAGGAGTGAATTCACCAAGTTGGTGATACTTTTTTTTGAGGACTCCTGGGACGTGGCTAATAATAACAACTGTGAACAATTACTGAGCTTCCTGTGCCTGATACCACGCAAGGCAGTTCCATATGTATTAATAGCATCTCAATTTTCGTAAGGACCTGGTGAATTAGGTACTATGGTTTTCCCCTGTGTACCAATGAGGAAATTGAAGATCAGAAAGGTGATGATGCTTGGGGGCCGGCCCCGTGGCGTCGCAGTTAAGTGCGCACGCTCTGCTGCTGGCGGCCCGGGTTTGGATCCTGGGCGCACACTGATGCACCGCTTGTCAGGCCATGCTGTGGTGGCGTCCCATATAAAGTGGAGGAAGATGGGCACAGATGTTAGCCCACGGCCAGTCTTCCTCAGCAAAAAGAGGAGGATTAGCAGATGTTTGCTCAGGGCTGCTCTTCCTCACACACAAAAAAAAAGAAAGGTGAAGATGCTCGCCCAGAGCTGGGGTTCTAACCTGGGTCCTGTGAACTCCACAATGAGAGCTACACCCACACCCACCCCACGCCTCCCCAAGCCCATGTCCCACCAGCCTTCTCTAGACCACATTTGGACCCCACCTGTGGCCGGACAGGTCTTGTTCTTTTTGGATTCTGTACACTGAGCAAGAGGCAAAATACACAAAGACTGCTTGTAGCTCGCCATGCCCATGCCCATGCCCATGCCCAGTCAGGAAACCCAGCCCCTTCCAGGAATCCCTGCTGCCTGCTGCACTGTTTGTCGTCTTGGAAACAAGGACCTCACTGCCTAATATGGGCCTAATATAGGACTTGGGCACTGGATGCTTCTTCACTGTCGTTGGTGATGTCCTACATCAAGTTATTTTCTTTCCGCAGTGAGTTTTCTCCCACTGTAGTTAGAGCTTACAGCTTTTAGCATCTCAGCTTCACCCCAGGGCCTCACAGACCTCACCACTCTGAGCATTCTCATCCTCCTGCAGGACCGGCTCCATCAGTTGTGGGGCCTAGAGCAAAATGAAAACGTGAGGCCCTTTGTTCAAATATTAGGAAGAGTTTCAAGATGGCGACGGTAGAGCACTAACCAAGCGCAAGTCCCTTCTGAGCACCGAGGTCTGTGTGACTGCACAGCCCGCATGCCCATGAAGCTGGCCCTGTGCTATTGGGTCCTTTATCCCCCCCATCCATCTCCTCCAGCACACACACAGACCCCTGCTCTCCACGCAGCCCTTCCTCCGGGAAAGCGCACTCACTCACTTTGGTGTGCTCACTCCTCTCTGTGCCGCCCATGGGGAAGGAGAGCGCTCACACAGACGCCTGGGTGGGATCGTTCCCAGCTCCTCCTCCTTCCCTCCCTGTCTGCCCCAGGAATGCACCTGCTCTAGATTGCTGGGAACCACCATGATATCCCACATGCCTCAAAACTGTTGCTTCTCTGGAACCAACACCTTCTGAATTGTACAGCAATAGAGTCCCAAAACTAGTCAGGTTCAGCAAAACACATCTTCAAAAGATTGTAGTATCTTTTCCTTCCCAGACCCCAAGGGTTACAAGGAGGAGTGAGCCAAGTCATTTAAAGAAGAAACAGGAAGAACCACAGCAGCCAGGCTACGAAGTTCTTGGTGGAGCTGCCTTTTACCCATAACCATAGCAGGTAACCCTTCTATCCAAGTGCTTTACAGACACAAACTCGTTTAGTCTTCACGTCACACTGGGAGGTGGACGCTGTTGTTGGCTCCACTTTGCAGGTATGCACAGAGAGGTTCAGTAACTTGCTCAGACTCTCAGAGCTGGTAAGGGCTTTTGCTGGGAGTCAAATTCTTGCAGCCCATAACATTAACCACTCCGCTCCACAGCTCTCTACGCCCCCACCTTTACGTGGTGGGGGCCCCAGTGTCTCTCCTTGAGCAGGAAAGTCACTTTACCCTCAACAGCTCACCTGAGTCTGGAAGGTGCTGATGACACATCAGCAGAGAGGGCAGGGCTTGGGATCAGGCCGCAAGGCCAAGGGCAGGGTCTGAAGGAGAGACAGCCCACAGGCTCCTGGACTGTGAGAGTGGCAGCGGCCCAAGGCTGGAAAGGAGGAGGGACAGCACTTGTGAGCTTTGGGTCACGGTTCTACTTGCTGTCTGTCTTCCCTGTCGGGCCATGAGCTCCAGGATTGCGGGGCCCGTGTCACCCCTGTTCACAGCTACATCCACGGGGCCTGGATTTACTGAGTATAAGTAAACAAAAGTTTATTGGGCACTTTTGTTTAATAAAGGCATGTGAGTCCCTGGGCCCCACACCCTGCCACAAAATCACTCCTACCCCGTGGTGGCTGGTTCTGAATATTTCTAATGAGGCTAGTTGAAGGCAGCTCCAGGTAGAAGGTCTTTCTGCCAGTGACACTTGCCCCCGTCACCACTCATGCTTCTTCCCCTTCAGACCAGGATCTCCTCTGTTGCTTCCCTCCTCTCTCCAATCTATTAGCACAAATATACTGTCAGTCAGCAGGTTTGGGGAAAGGGATTCTGCTACAATCTATGGAAAGGGCAATATGTGCAATGGTAGGGTGACCAACTCATGTCAATTTACCGGGGATTTTCCTGATTTTAGGTCTGAAAGCCCTTCATACCCGGAACCCTCTCAGTCCTGGGCAAGCTGGGACAGTTGGTCACCCTAGCAGGAAGGTGAGCTGGAGACACATAGTACCTTCCAGCATTCAGCCAAAATTAGCGTGGCACGGAGCTGTGTGTAAGAGCCACGACTGTGGTCAGAGCGCAGTGATCTGGTTCTAGGGCTGTGGCTGGCCGGTGACCTTGGGGAAAGCCCTCCCCCCCAGGGTTTCAGTTCTCCCATCTGACATGTGAGGACATTCCAGTGCTGTGGAGGGCAAGGTGAGAGCACCACTTAGTGTCACCAATGGCAGTGCAAAGTGGCACCATCTCTTGAAGAAGCAATTTGGCTAAACCTGGCAAGTCATAAAAATGTTCACATCCTTTCACGCACTTTTCTCATCCCCTGGGACTTATTGATTCCAAGGCAATAACCCAAGGGAAATAGAAGAGCTCTCTGCAGGAATATGTGCATTGCAGTACTATCTATCATGGTGAAAAGTTGGAAGAAATCTCTGCACTGAAACAAGAGGTGAGCGGTGAATTACAGGATGATGCATCCACTAGCACGCATGGTATGCTGCAATCATTAGAAAGGCCTGAGAGATGCTCGTGACAATTGAAACTGATATGGGAAAGGCAGGAGACAAAGCTACACTGACTACGATGGAAACGTGAAAAGATGTTGCTGCAGAGAAAGACTACTGGAAAAGGGAAAGATGGTAATAGTTGTATTGTTTAATGAGATCAGAGATTAATTCTTCCACATTTTTTCAGATGATCTACACCTCTGTGGTATTATTTTTCACCCAAAAAAAGCAATTAATAAATGAGAAAACTTAAGTAATGGTCTCCATGGCCCCTTCTGGCATTAACATCACTCAGCGATGTTCTGATTGGTGCCCATGCAGTCTAAGGACCTTGCCTGGCTTCCTGGATGTCCCTCTGTTGCCCAGAAATCACCTGCATTGCAGCAGTTGCCTGGCGACACAGGGATGGAGCCGGGACTCCTGACCTCTAGGCCAGTGTCTCTCCCACTGCCAGCCTTCGTCCCTCAAGCTCTCTCTTGTGATGTCAACATCCTCACCTGGTGCATAGATCTGAGTTCTTGGCTGCAATCAAAGAAACCAATTCCGTTTGATTTAGGCAGAAAAGGAATATATAGGATGATTCTTGAGTAGCTTATAGACTTAACAAAAGATTTGGCAACATGTCTTTAAAAAAAAAAAATGAAGTACCAAAAGATGCTGAGAAACCAAGAATGTGGCCAAGGTCACACCAAGAAAAATATGGAGAGACTTCTGTTGCGGACACAGCCACTGCAGGACCCTCCTGCCATGGTGGCCACTGGACTCTTGACCCCACTGCTGCTGCCAAAAGAATCTCTGTCTTTTCATCTGTGCTTTACTCCCTCAAGATCAAGGTCTTGGTTAGGAGCATCCACTTAGTCAAGTCATGGTCACACACCTGTGCCAAGGAGTAGCAGCTTCCTGAGCGGGAGGGAGCTTGTCTCCTGCCAAGAGCCACACGCGGTGGAGAAGGAGGTTCTTCCCGAAAGGAAGAGTCTGCATGGTGGGTGGCCAAACACTCGACAAATGTACACTACCCTTGGTCACTCCATTTCCCACTGTCCTTCCCTCCTCCTTGTTCTCTACCTGCCTCAAGACAAACCTGCCAGCATCACTCAATGGCCCTCATAGTGACAGACTCCACATCAGCACAGGTTATCACGGGGTCAGTGTCTTTCCCAGCTTCAGGGCCAGGGCCTGGGCCTGTGTATGAGTTTGGCTCAAGGGGGCTCCTAAAGTGCTCCCACCCTGAAGACAGTATTTCCCACAGCTCCCAAAGGCCCCAGACCCAGGCATGCCCCCTTCCCTGGATGGGTCCCCCAGGAAGGCCACTGAGCCTACACTCTGGGACCCCACTGCTCCAGCCAAGCCTGACTCAGTGAGGGCACTAAATCCTCATCTCTCGAATCCATTCTTTGACAGGGGGCCATGTGGACACCTCCTTGTTCCAAGTGGCCCACTTTAAAGAGGAGGGGATGATCCTGGAGAAGCCAGCCAGGGTGGAGCCATGTTACACGGTCCTGGAAAACCCCAGCTTCTCCCCCATGGGAGTTCTACTGAGAGTGATCCACGCTGCCCTGCGCTTCATTCCTGTCACCTCCACCGTGTTGCTCTACTATCAACTCCAACCTGAGGAAGTCACTTTCCATCTCTACCTGATCCCCAGCGACTACTCCATCCGGAAGGTGGAGTAAGAGCCAGAAAGGCTGGGCCAGGGTGGGCTGTAGGCAATCACGAAATGCAGCCAAAGAGCCCCCCAGATGGGTCAACTGGGAATGAAGATGGGCCTCCTACAAACCTTGAAGTGGGTGAATAATCTTGCCCCCTGCTCAGCCATGGACTGGTCTCCTGGCTCCCTAAGGTCTCCCCCAGCCTGGGTTTGCTGCTCCATCACTCATCTCTGGGCAACATTTTGCAGCCTCTTTCCAGGACTCAAAAGGATGGGAGGGCCCTATGACCAGAACTGTCTCCTTTCCCCAGTTCTCACTTCTTCTCCAGCAATGCCCCAATTCTCACCCTGAACATAACAGAGGCCAAGGGTGGGCTCTCTGTGTAGCAGTGCATTGGGGGAGAGGGGTGCAGGGGTGGTATAGCCCCTCTCCTCCCACACAAACATACAGAAGCACCACCTCACTGTATTCAAACTAGATTCCATAGGACAGAATCTCTGAGCCAGATGCCAGACACCAGACACATCTCACCCCTTGATCCTTGTTCTGTATGCTCCCTAGGCCATAGATGATGAAGAAAAGAAGTTCCAGTTCATGCGAATCCACAAGCCGCCCCCGCTGGCCCCCCTCTACATGGGCTCCCGCTACACTGTGTCTAGTTCAGAGAAGCTAGAAATAATCCCCAAGGTGAGCAGCCCAGATGTTCGCCCCTCACTGGGATCAGAGGTCATGCCTGGGAATACCCGTGCGGCAGGTCTCAGAGCTTTCCCAGGAACAGGGAAAAATGGAGTTGGGCAGACAGCAAGTGGGATTTGGGGTGAGCAGGAATGCTTTCAAAGATTGGGAGAAAGGAAGCTAGTGGGAAGGAGGGTCACATTCAGGACGGGGACAATGATGGGGTCTGACTTGGGGGCACTGAGAAGTGTTGGGCTCTAGCATGTCAATGCCCTCCAGGCAAAAGCACCAGGAACACACCTGGAGCTGAACACACTGGGTTTATGGCTCATTGCAGCAAGAGAATAGGCACCATGGGGAACCGTGGGGACTCTCAGTACAAGAGAGTAGGAAAGAACCCAGTATAGGATTTGGGCCTTGGTTGGGTAAATTGGGGAAAAGTCTAAGGAAATGGAGATTTGCTCTAGATTGAGTGTTGTCAGAAGGCAGAGGCAATTCAAAGATTGGGAACCTCAACAAATCTTATCTCTAGGCAAGGCAGACAGGGCAAGGATAAAGCTATAATTGCTTACGTAGCAGTCACTCATTTAGTGGGGAGGGGGGATGTTTGGCATTTTGTGGGTTGCACGGTGATCAGTCTGAGGGGACATTCTGTGAGATTGTGTGTGTCGAACAGGAGGACAACACGGCTGGGATGGCAACCTCAGAAGAGTTTGTAATTACACCAAGGCGTAGCTGTGAGCATCAGATCAGTTCCTGGGTGTCAGGGCTGCCTTTTGTTCTTTCTCGGGGTCCCCTTTTGGCCAAAGGCAGATGACCTCAGGCCACTGGACATTCATCCATGACATTCAAATCCTCACCCTGCCCAGATTTTGCTGCTTAGGGTCAGAGTGTCCACTGAACGGTAGTCTGTAGTTGAAGGAGGGTCAATCCTTCTTTCTCCTTCTGTTGTGAGATGAATCTTTGAACCATCTCATGTGACAATGACAGATAGAATAGACGTCCAGGAGTTAGGAGGAAGTGATATATATTTTTTGAGTTGGGAAACATGCATCCAAGGGTGAATACCTTGGATTTTCCTGTTGTATCAGTCATTAACAAGAGATGAGAGACATGATTCAGTCATTCAACAAACACTTAGCCAGTGCCAACTATGCACTCTCTTCAGTGTCTCACACTGTCTTCAGTGGAGAGAGTTCAGTGAACAGGACAAAGCCCTGCCCTTGGGAAGTTGACATCCTGGTGGGATGAGACTTATATAAATAATTAAAGAGATAATGACCAAGAACCATGAAATTCTGTAAGGAAAACACAACCAGGCCATGTAAGAGAGTGATTTGGGCTACTTTATACTGGGTGGTCAGGGGAAGTATTTCTGAGGAGGTGACATTTGAACTGAGACCTGAGTGACAAGAAGGGTTCAGGTACATGGAGACTTGTGGCAGAGCACTTCAGGTGCAGAGGCATAGAAGCAGGAGCAAGCTTGATACCTCCAGTTGACAAAATGGAGGCCAGTGTGGCAGAGCTTAACGAGCGTAGCCAAAGAGAGGAGGAAGATGGGCCAGACAAGAGGCAGCAGCTTCGTAGGGCCCACTGGCCCTGGTGGGAGTTTGGATTTTATTCTAAGTACAATGACAAGCTCTTAGAAGATCTTAAACGTGGTAATACAAGACCTGATTTACTTTCGTATAGATGCCTCCAGCTGCTGGGTAAGAATGGAAACAGAGACAAGCGGAAACGCTATTGCAATACTGCAGGCAGGAATTGATGGTGGCCTGACTGGGGAGGTCACAGTGGAAATGGAGAAAAGCTGATGGATTCAGGGCATATTTTGGAGGTAGATCCAATAGGCCTTGGCCTATGGAGAGAGAAAGGAAGGAGTTAAGGATGATGCCTAAACCCAGAAACTGAGTGCTCAGTGGGTGGCAGTGCCATTTACTGACTTTGGGAAAAGTGGGGAGAGAGCATGTTTGGAAGACAGTAGGGAATCAATAGTTCTGTCTTGGATGTGATCTAGGAAAGGAGATGAATATAAATTTTCTGTTGACTGAAAGTGGGTCAAGTTTAGGATCCATTGAGAAGACAGGATTTGGGATGGAGAAATGAGGGTTTGGATTCAAGATGGGGGAGATGGAGGAAGGAGGATCTGGTTCAAGATGGAGGGAGAAGGATCCGGTTTAGGATGTGTGAGCACTACATTTAAAGATGAGTCCTCAGGGCCGGCCTGGTGGCGTAGTGGTTAAGTTCATGCGCTCTGCTTCAGTGGCCCGGGGTTTGCAGGTCCGGATCCCGGCCGCGGACCTATGCACCACTCATCAAGCTATGCTGTGGCAGCGTCCCACATATAAAGTAGAGGAGGATGGGCACAGATGTTAGCCCAGGGCTAATCTTCCTCAGCAAAAAGAGGAGGATTGGCAACAGATGTTAGCTCAGGGCTAATCTTCCTCACCAAAAAAAAAAAAAAAACCAAGATGAGTCCTGAATCATCTATGGGGTACCCAGCTGTGTCCTCATCCTTCTGAGTCAGGATTTGTGGGAAATTAGGAAAAGAGCAGTGTCCGAAGGTGGTGATTAATTTCAGTACCGATCATCCAAGTGTCCCTATGGGTTGAGCAGGGCCAAGTGCGTGTCAGGTGGGGAAAGACCTCACTTGTGCGATGATCAGTGGCTTCTTAAATGACAACTCTCTCTCCTCAGGAACTGGAGCTCTGCTATCGGAGCCCCAGGGAATCCCAGCTCTTCTCTGAGTTCTACGTTGGCCATTTGGGGTCAGGGATCAGGCTGCAAATGAGAGACAAGAAAGATGGGACTGTGGTATGGGAGGCCTTGGTGAAACCAGGTAAAGTTGAGACAAGTTAGGGAACTCAGAGGTGAGAGAAAGTCAATTAAAGTGTAAGTGTGTGTGTGTGTGTGTGTGTGTGTATTATCACAATTTGCTGATGGGAAAAAAATTGCCCAGAGAAGTTATGTGGCTTTTTCTAGTTACATAACAGCTGATATGATCAGAATTTGAACTCAAGTTAATCTGACTCTAAGCTCCACGCTCTCTCCCATGCACCATTGCGTCTCCACACTGCACTTGCATTAACAGATTTCAACACCCACAAGGCCTTTGGCAAAGTTTCTCATGTAGCTTGGATGTGAGATGAAAGAAAAAGAACTAGATGGTTATATGGTTGTATGGATCAAGCCAGTTTTGGCAATGTCAGATACTGTAACCTGGATCATTTGGATATTTTCAAGGTGTACAAGAGGGAATCAAATAATGAACTTTCAAGAATGGATGAAACTTCACAGTCTTAGTCAAGCACCAATACTCCCAAGAACCAAAATCTCCTAAACAGTCCTTTTAGGGACAAGCAGCCCTTGTCAGCTATTGAAATATGGTGAATCTGCCTCCTGAGCTGCTACAAACAGGCTACACGGTGTGGTGGCAAGAGAGTGGGCTTTACTCAGTCTTGGCTGGGGGGCAATCACAGGTGGAGAACTAACCAGCCCCAGCATCAGACCTGGGTTTGAAACCCACTGTGGCACTTACTTGCTGAGTGATCTTGGGAAAATTACTAAACTCACTTGGGTCTCGAGTTCCTCCTCTGTAAATGAGGATCATAATGCCTAACTTGTAGGATTGTTGGAAAGATTAAATAAAGTGATGTGTGTACATGTTTCATGCAGTGCCCCTTAATAAATAGTAGCAGTATTATTCTTTTTCCTCCTATTAAGCCAATCTTTTCCTCCCCTCAGTCTTAGTTCTGTCCCTTGGAGCTGACAGAAAAAAATCTATCTCCTTCCCCCTGGGAAAGCCCTTCAGACACTTGAGGCCTGTGACCGTGGCCTCCCCTAAGTCTCCTCTTATGCAAGTTAAACATCTCCAGTTCCTTCCATCGTTCCTCTCATATTTTGGGTTTTAAGTTCTTTTGCTATTCCAGTCACCTTCCTCAGTAGATGCTCCAGTTTTCAGATGAGTCAGGATGGATTCCCTGCTGTCCAGTCAGCATGAACGATGTGGAAAACGCTCCTTCCCTCATACAAATGAACCCAGTGCTCCCAGTCCCACAGACGGAGCTCCCGTCTCCTTGCGTCCACCTCCCTGCGCTGTCAAGTGACACTGAACCTGGGTCTGCTCAGAATCTCAGGCCTTGTCCACATGAGCTGCTGTGGACTCCTCCTTCCTCTCCTCATGCAAGTAGTTGTTTAAGCCCCTTCATTTGTCGTTGTCGCTGTTGTTTTTCCTGTTGAAATTTATCCATTACTCCCAAGTGCTAAGATTTTCTTGATCTTGATTCTGACGTCAAAATCCAGGACAAACAGTGTGAGTCTAGGCCAAACAAGGACAGGGAGGTAGATTGCTGCTCAGAATAAGATCTCAAATAGTTGAAGCTAACTAGCAAGGGGCTTGGTTATTTCTCCACCAGGGTTCCATTCAGGACAAGACTGGATTAAACCATGTCTGGAGTGCTGAGGAAGAAATTGCTGTTGCTTATTTGGATGCCTTCCCTCTCTCTCCCTCTCTCTGTGTCTATGATTATGGCCTCTGGGCCTCAGTTTCCCCATATGATGAGGAAGGGATTCACCTACTTAATCTCTAAAAGCCTTTCTAGTCCTTACTCCAGATTCTATCAGAATTTGTCTGTGGCTTGTTCTCAGAATCAAAGAATCTCAGAAGTAGGTAGGAGTGTCAAAGACTATCATTTGTGTTAACAACCAGCACTGTTACAGATGCTTCTTCATATCTGTTTTCCTCCAGGAGATCTCAGACCTGCAGCTACTCTGGTCCCTCCAGCCCTGCTAGGTCAGTAACAGCTGTTAGAGATCGCAGGAGCCACAGCAGTTCTAAGCGTACTATCTGGTCCTGGAGGGGAGGGAAGAGAGAAAGGAAGGGACTCCATCATCGCAAACCTCACAAGGGATCAAGCCTTGGAGAGGGGTGTGTGCCCTGGGGCAGAGTCCCTCCCCATCCCCCTTCCTCCTGCCCATGGAGGTGCTGGCACCTCCCACTGGACAGCCTCAAACGCCCCCATCATGAACCCCTAGCTCAAGCAGAATGCTAGGCTAGATGCTGACGTGAGGGAGGGCAGAGGTGCCTTTCTGGTGGTTACAGTGGGAGAAGGAGCCAGGGATGCAGCTGAGGTGAGTGAAGAGAGCTGGGGGAGGATGGGAGGTAGAGGCTGTGGTGGGAGCCCTTCTTTGTTCTTTGGCAGCTTCACCTTCACACCCAGATGTCCCGGCCCCACTGCACTTCGTGGACCGGTATCGGGAGCAGCTGGTGGCTCGAGTGACATCGGTGGACCCTATCCTGGACAAGCTGCATGGACAGGTGCTGAGTGAGGAGCAGTATGAGAGGGTGCGGGCCGAGGCCACCAACCCGGGTCAGATGCGGAAGCTGTTCAGCTTCAGCAAGTCCTGGGACTGGGCCTGCAAGGACCAATTCTACGAAGCCCTGAAGGAGATCCACCCTCACCTAATTGTGGAACTCTGGGAGAAGTGGGGCCATGGAGGAGACCTGGGGATTCCCAACAAGCTTGGCAGCTGAAGTGTGACCACTGCCGGTGAGTCCCGGCTCTGCCTCACCACTCTTCAAGTCTCACTTTCTCCATCTCAAAACAAGGTGCCATCAAGATGGGCACGGATGTTAGCCCAGGGCCAGTCTTCCTCAGCAAAAAAGAGGAGGACTGGCAACAGATGTTAGCTCAGGGCTGATCTTCCTCACAAAAAAAAAAAAGGAAATTGGCTAGATGGTGATTTCATTCACAGTGATGGGCAAGATTGGAGATGGAGCAGCTCTGATGAGAAAGATCAGGAGTTCAAGTTCAAGAAAGATAAGTGGAACTTGAATGTGAAACTTGGTCTAGGTGTTATATTACCTTTCTACTTGTACTTCCTGACACAGTCTAGATTACACTCAAAGTAACGGCACTGGATGTCATCACTGAGGGAGAGAAGGTACAGTAAAGAGAGAAGAACCCCTATCAAAACTCAGCATTTAGTGGTAGCATAGAAAAAGAAGCCAATAAACGGAATTAGAGAAGTAGGAAAAGCTTGAAAGGTAGGTAAAAACAATCAAAAAGGGTTAAGTCAGGAAGCCAAGGTGAAAAAAATCAAAAGAAGTTAAGTCAGGAAATCAAGATAAAAGTCTTTCACTAAGTGAAATTCTGAGAGGTTAGTAAGATTTCAATTTTGTCTCTTCTAGAATGGCGCTTTATGAAGACAAGGATCTTTTGTTGTTCACTGCTGTATCTCGTTATCCTGGAACAGTGCCTGGCCCATAGTAGGTGTTTAATAAATATTTGTTGACCAAATGAAAAAAAACAACAACAACAACACGGTGCCATCTGAGTTGCCTTCTAGTCTAAAGTTATGGAGCTTTGATGATGTCTTTGCTGGGCATTATATGTCCATGCCCAGGAAGGCCACACAGGCACCCACACTGCCTCCGTTGGCTTTCCCAGGCCAGCTGTCCAGATGGGATGACGGCATCTCAGGGAATGTCCATCTGGAGCTGGCGGACCTCTGCAGACCTTGTAGAAGCCTAACCCAAGAGCCTGGTCTGGTGGCCACAGCAACCAAGCCTAGAGCCCTTCCTGTGCCATCCAGATGCGAGGAGAAGCAGGGGGGACATGGTACTAGCCACCTCTGGCTGGAGACAGACAATGGAAATGGATACCTTGGGGGTTTTGAGTGGCTTGTAAATAGGGGCAAAAACAGATTTATTTTTCACTTGTCCATGTTGAGCTTGGTTTTTCTATTCGTCCAAATTGGGCTTTGCTGTTTCTGAAGTCTAGATGGATTCCTAGGGCCAGGAGAAGGGAGAAGAAGGAGGCCACAGGGGGAATGGAGCCTAGGTCTTAGCTTAGATGTCTTCTCCTGTGAGAAGTGATTCCATGCCCTCACACCTGGCTTAGGGATAACTGCCCTGTGGCCCTGCAGCACCTTCTGTCCTTCCCCCCATCAGAGCACTCAGCGTATGGCATTGTCCCTCCTGCTTCATTGCTGGTCTCCCCTACTGGAAGGCAAGCTCCCCGAGGGCAGGAACCGTGTCTGATCTGCTCATCAGTTTACCCCCTGGCACTTGGTGGGTATTAAGTGAGGATTTATGAATAGGTAAACGGTAAAGGAACTCTCGCTAGACACATCTTTTAATTCCCTCCCTGGCCACCATACTATCCATGTGATTCAGGGCCCACCCTAGTAACGATCCCAAGTTAGTAGGCCACCCCCTTGGTCCCAGCGATTCGGTAATCTTAGAATTGAACCCATCGGTGCTGAAACATTTATACCAATGTTGTTCTCAACTCATGAGAGCAAAGCTTCACTCCTGCTACCTCTGCCCAAGACACAGCAGCACACGTGGACAGTATCTCCTTCCCCACGCAGTCACCCTCCTCCCTCAGTCACTTCTTCCTGCAGCCTGCTTGGGCCTTACCCCCGGCCCTTACCCTCTACCACACAGCCTTGGGGGGTCTCGTCTTTGGCCTTCCTGACTCTGGGGGTTGTTCTGAAGGTTAAATGAGATAATACATGGATGTGCTCAGATCAGCATTCAGCACATAGTAAGTACACAGCAAGTGGTAGATAATCTCTTGGTTTCACTGATCACTGGGTGAGAGAGAGGGCAGCATATCTCAACCTCCCACAACTACTCCGAAAGAGAATTCAATAGGGTTAGTGCACAAACATCAAAAAAATTTAGAAGAAAAGGGCCCACACCTGTGGCCTCAGTCCCAGTTGCTTCGTCAGCACATGCCCGAGCTGCCACCTTCTGGACCCAGTGACTGTTTTGCTCAGGCCACATTGCTAACACGTTCAATAAATTTGGCTGACTCTCTCGGGACCTTCCTCTGGATGAGGGCGTTCCTGAACTTTTGTATCCCAGCTCTTGGAGCTCTCTTGTGATGGAAGTGTAGTCTAGCAGGACACCCATACTTGAGACGGATGTTCTTTTCCTAAGATCCAGGTGACTGTGGCTGCTTTCTGGTTCCAGGTAGGATAAGTTTGTGCAGAAGGCATGATATCATCAGGACTCTGCACCCAAGACTCTGGCCCTCGACTTCCAAGGACAAGAGATCTTGCTGATTTGAGTGGATTCCAGATCAGCTACCTGTGTCGGCAGTTTTCTGCTGAATGTGGCAGGTATATGACTTGATTCTGAATGTGATGTGCTCGACTATCTCAAGGGAAAAAAAAATATGCCGCATTCGTCTTAGAGCTTGTTTCTTCTCCAAATAGCTAACGCCCTCATGTGAGTTCCTCAGAAGCATGGAAGAACACTCTCAGGACAAAACTGTGTGCTTCCATTGCCTTGTACTGGGCACCACATTGCATCCAGGACAGTGCCCATTCATTGGTTCTAATTTCCTCCATTGTCACGGTAAAACCCAGATCCCCCCAGGGGAATCTCTGATCCTCTCCACCAGGAAGCTGCAGGTGGAGCCCGGTAGCTCAGGGCCTGCCCACAGCACTGTCCTCCAAGTTCTAGCTCCCAGCTGGGGCTGTGACGATTGTCGGGGCCACACAGTAGAGAGTCATTGCAGGCAGCGTGTCTGGGGGCGGCCTCCAACTTCCTGCCATGTCATCTCTAAGCAGGGCCTGACCCTGGGGAGACCCAAACAGCTCTCACTGCCTTGCTGAAGGTATGAGGCTATTTTCAATAGCCCAGGGATGTGTTCAAAGAGCAAGAGAACACAGGTATCCTTGAAGCTGAACCCAGACATGTGTCAACACTGGAGTTACAGTCAGCTAGGCGGCCACCCATCCCCGCCCTGATCTAAAAGTGTGACATGTGTAAATCATTTAACCCTATTGACTACTCTGTATTAGTCAGGGTTCTCCAGAGAAACAGAACCTGTAGGATGTGTGTATATATACATTTATTTGAAGGAAGTGGCTCACACAGTTATGGAGGCTGGCAAGTCCAAAATCTGCAGGGTGGGCCAGCAGGCTGGAGACCGAGGGAAGAGCTAATGCTGCAGCCGCCTGCTAGCAGAACTCCATCTTGCTCAGGGGAGGTCAGTCTTTTGTTCTATTCAGACCTTCAACTGACCCACATTTTGTAGGGCAATCTGTTTTACTCAAAGTCCACTCATTTAAATGTTCATCTCATCCAAATACACCCTCACAGAAACATCTAGAATAATGTTTGACCAAATATCTGGGCACGGTGGCCCAATCAAGTTGACACATAAAATTAAGCATCACAAACCCTATGATGACAGGTACTACTAACATCCTCATATTACAAGGACACTGAGGCCGAGAGGGGTTAAGTAACATCCCTAAAGTCTCAGAGAAAGTAAGTGGTGGAGTTGGGATCCAACGCATGGTAGGCGGGCTCCACAGTCCACCTCCTAACCATCACTGAAGCCTCTGTTAGATAAACGGCTCACCATCATTCCAGACATGGAAATGCACAAAACAGAGATTTCTGGGACTTGTTTATGATTGCCCACTATGGGGCCAAGAACATAATTCGGGACTAGGTCATTATTTCTTACAGACTTCAGCTACCCAAAACTTTCAGACAGACTTCAGCTACCCAAAATTACAGGCTTCTATTTCTCTTCGTGGGGCTGAAATAATTTTTTAGAAATTCCCTGTGACATCCACTGAATTCCAAGAAATTATAATTTTCTTTAACCAGTGGGATGCAGCCTGTTGGTAAAAGCAGAGGTGTTTTCAGGATCTGTATTCTGCCACACTTGTGATCATCTGTGCCAACGTATTTTACCAAAGTCTGACAAAAATGACTTTGGTGTGGGGACCGGAGGGACCAGACACATGTATCCCACAGGGGTGAGATCCAGGTCCTCCTGCCCCCAAATTAACCACTTCCCAGGATAGCTGACAGTGGGACTATCCAGTTCCTTCAGAGGAACCCCCTTCGCGTCTGCTTGCAGGAGCAGGCGTGTCTGGGGACTGGGTCCCTTCAGCACAGGCAGTAACTGTGTGTTATTCTGCGTAACAAAGGTAGATTGTGTTAGGTCCAGGCGTCTTTGATATAGTATGGATGAAGGAAAGCTGAGCTGTGGGGGTGGTGTGTATAATGTTTGTGTGTTGTGATGGTGTGTGTGTGTGTCCTTGTGTGATAGGCAGTCAGGAGCGGAGTGTAATGGACTCAGCTGCCTGCCTGGCCCTCCCTTCTTTTTCAGAACTGCCCCCTCTCCTGCCCACAGGCTAAGCTGCAGCAGGAATAGCCATGTTTGTGCAACTGACCCTTTCCCCACAGCCCCAGCAGACCGGCCACAGAGGAGATGCTAGCAGGGGGCAGTTTCTGGGACTAACAGAGAAAGCCAGGCTGCAGTAGGAAAGAAAATGAAGCAGATGGGCAGAGAGAAGCAGGGATGAGGGATGGAGACTGAGGGCACCCTGGAATGCCCAGTCTTCCAATTGCCACTTCCACTGTGTTGCTAAAGCCACAATACATCTGTGCCTTGACTTTCATAAGACATTCTGCTTCTGTATAATTTCCCCTCTTTTGCTTAAGCTAATTCCAATGACTTTTTGATTATTTGCAACCAAGAATCCTAAAAAAACACACTACCTTTGATCCCTTTTGGAATAAGGCAGGAACTTAATGCCTTTCCAGGGTCCCTTAAATCTCCACCCCCTTCCCA